AGAGGCTTCAACAGGGATACGTGGAAGACATTTGAGATACGCATCCCAGGAGGAAGAGCAAGGGCATAGGCAACCGGGTTCACCCTGCGGAGGATGCGGAAAAGACCAACAAAATGGGGGAGCCAGTTTCGGTGCGGGCACCCGAAGATTGAGGTTACGAGTGGACAACCACACCCGATCTCCGACCTGGTATGAAGGAGCGGGCAACCGTCTACGATCAGCCTGGAGCTTCTGGCGCTGAGCTGAGTCCTTCAAGGACCTCTGGATCTGCCCCCACGAGGAACGCAGGGCAGCAAGATGGTTATCCACAGCCGGAATGTCCTGTGGCGAGAACAACTCAGGCAATACAGCGGGTTGGAACCCATAGTTTGCCATGAAGGGAGACATCCCGGAGGAGGAGTTGACAGCCGAGTTCCTCGCAAACTCTGCCCATGGCTGGAGATCGACCCAATTGTCTTGATGGTCAGAGATATAGCAGCGAAGGAATTGTTCCTGGGCCTGGTTTGAATGCTCCGCAGCCCCATTGGACTGCGGGTTGTAGGCCGAAGAGAAGGAGAGAGCTTGTACCAAACTGGGAGCAGAAGGCGTGCCAGAACCTGGACACAAACTGGCTCCCATGGTCAGAGACAATCACCTTAGGCAACCCATGCAAGCGAAAGATCTCCCTGGCGAAAACCGTAGCCAATTCTTGCGCAGTCGGCAATTTCTTGAATAGAACACAATGGCACATCTGGGAGAAACGATCAATGACCATAAGAATGACCATATGGCCTCAAGACGCAGGGAGGTCTACAATAAAATCCATGCCCAGGTGTGACCAGGGACACTCCCCATTGGGAATGGGTTGCAGAAGGCCCAGTGGAAGATGCCGAGATTTATTCTGGGCACAGACAGAACATGCCGCTACATATGAGGCGATGTCGGAACGGAGAGATGGCCATCAGAATAAACGAGAAATGACCCAGGACAACTGGTTCCTCCCTGGATGACCGGCGGTCTTGGAATTATGGTAGGTACGCAGCAAGCGGATGCGCAATCCCTCAGGTACGAAACATCTACCAGCTGGTCTCTCAGAGGGAGCATCAGTTTGAGCCGCCAAAATCTGCTCCCCAAGGGGAGAAGTCAGGCTGGTACGAATGGCAGCCAGGATCTGATCCGGAGGTATGACCGAGTCCTCCCTGGACAGCTCAGAGTATTGCCACGACAAGGCATCAGCCCTGACATTCTTGGAGCCAGGCAAATAGGAGAACACAGTTAAAATGTGACAAGAATAGAACCCATCTGGCCTGATGGGGCGTCAACCTCTTAGCTTCAGAGAGATACGTCAGGTTCTTGTGGTCAGTGAGAATGAGAACCGGAACCGCAGAACCCTCGAGTAGGTGCCTCCATTCCTTGAGAGCCTGAATAATGGCCAACAACTCCCTGTCTCCAATCTGGTAGTTGCATTCTGCGGAGGAAAGCTTCCTGGAGTAGAACCCACAGGGAAGTAGGGGTCCATCAGGCAACGACGCTGAGACAGGAGGGCGCCAACTCCCGTCTCAGATGCATCAACTCAACCTCGAGGACAAAAGGCAACCCAGGATTGGGATGAGACAGTATCGGAGCCGAAGCGAAGGCGGATTTCAGAGCTTCGAAAGCTAAGATGGCCTCGGATGACCACTCGTGGGGATTACTGCCCTTCTTGGTCAGATCTGAGAGAGGCTTGGCCAGTGTGGAGAAGTTCCTGATAAACTTCCGATAATAGTTGGTGAATCCCAAAAAGCGCTAAATGGACCGAAGACCACTGGGACGAAGCCACTGCATAACCGCCGAAACCTTCTGAGGGTCCATGGAAAATCACACAGCGGAAATGATGTAGCCCAAAAAGGCAACCTGGGATCGGTGAAATTCACACTTCTAAGCTTACAGAAAAGCTCGTTCTCACGTAATCGTTGCAGCACTCGCTTAACATCCTGGATATGAGACTCCATGGACGCAGAGTAAACCAGGGTGTCGTCCAAGTAAACCACCACGCACTGCTGCAACAAGTCACGAAAGACATCATTAATGAACTCCTGAAAGACCGCAGGCGTGTTACACAACCCGAAGGGCATAACCAGGGATTCATAGTGGCCGGTTCTGGTGTTGAACGCGGTCTTCCACTTGTCGCCTTCCTTTTTTTTTTTTGGGTATCAACCCTTTCGCCGCATTCAAGAAGTACCATATACCTGAGTCTTTATATTTATTTACAGATGTCTCCACATTGTGTAGGAGGCACATGGAGCAGCACAAGGTCTGAGGAAAGGTAGGACCTTGACAGCCCAGCTCCTGGAACTTACAATCTAAAGGAAGGTGGAGGTGATACAAAAGGTGATAGCTGCGGGTGATGATCTGGTGGAGGTGATTCAAGTACAGTTCTTAGGTGGAGGTGGGGTAGGCTTCCCTGAAAAAGTGAGTTTTCAAAGATCGCCTAAAGGCAGATAGGGTGACCGGACATGCTGTGGTAGGGAGTTCCAGAGGATGGGAAAAGTCCTGGAGGTGAGCATGGGAGGAAGTGATGAGGGAGCTTGAGAGGAGGATATCATGGTTGGTAAGGAGGACACCAGTCCATCCAGTTCAAGCTGTGTCAGTGTGTGTATAGGATTATGTCACTACCAATTCCCATACGATGAAAGTCTAAACGTTCTGTGAAATTATCGACACTTCCCACTGCCACCACCAACTGTGGAAGGAAGTTCCACATCCTTACTGTTCTACCAGTAAAGCACCCCCTACCCAATTTAAGGTTAAACTGCTTCTCATCCAACTTCATTGAGTGGCTCCCGTGTCTTCTTGAGCAACCCAAGACTGAATAGTTTCCTCCCTCAGCTAGAATCACCATTAAGATATTTGTATATTAGGATCATATCTCCTCTTTAAGTGTCTTCTGTCTATGGAAAATTAGCTCAATGTGGGTAGCCTTTCCTGATCGCTGAGGTTCACCATCCCCCAAACCCTAGGTCCTCCATCCCGTATACCTGAGGTCCTCCATCCCCCATACTTGAGGTTCTCCATCTGCCATACCTGAGATCCTCCATAACTGAACTCCTCCATCCCCATAACCGAGGTCCTCCATCCCCCAGACCCTAGGTCCTCCATTCCCAATACCTGAGGTCCTCCATCCCCTAGAACTGACGTCATCCATCCCACATAACTGAGGTCTTCCATCCCACATAACTGCGGCCCTCCATCCCTCATAACTGAGCTCCTCCATCCCACATAAAAGAGGTTCTCCATCCCACATAACCGAGGTCCTCCATCATCAATGACTGAGGTTCTCCATCCTCATATATGAGCTACTTCATCCCTCATAACTGCAGTCCCCCATAACCAAAGTTCTCCATCCCTCATAACTGCGGTCCTCCATCCCCCATAACCGAGGTTCTCCATCCCACATAACCGATGTTCTCCATCCCACATAACTGAGCTCCTCCATCCCTCATAACCGAGGTCCTCCATCCTACAGAACAGAGGTCCTCCATCCTACAGAACAGAGGTACTTCATCCCTCCTCATTGAGGTTCTCCATCTGATATAATGGAGGTCCTCCATCCCACAAAACTGAGCTCCTCCATCCCCCATAATTGAGGTCCTCTATCCCCCATAACCAAGGTCCAACATCCCTCATAACCAAGGTCCTCCATCCCCTAGGTTCTCCATCCCCCAGAACTGAGGTCCTCCATCCTACAGAACTGAGCTACGTCATCATTCATACCAGGTTCTCCATCTGATATAACTGAGGTCCTCCATAACTGAGGTTCTCCATCCCCCCATAACTGAGGTCCTCCATCCCCCATAACTGAGCTCCCCCATAACTGAGGTTCTCCATCCCCATAACTGAGCTCCTCCATCCCCCATAACTGAGGTTCTCCATCCCCCATAACTGAGCTCCTCTATCCCCCATAACTGAGGTTCTCCATCCCCCATAACTGAGGTCCTTCATCATCCATAACTGAGCTCCTCCATCCCCCATAACTGAGCTCCTCCATCCCCCATAACTGAGCTCCTCCATCCCCCATAACAGAGGCTCTCCATCCCCCATAACGGAGCTCCTCCATCCCCCTTATTAGATTTGTCACCCTTCTCTGGACTCTCTCCAGTTCCAGCACCTCCTTCCTGTGGACTGGTGACCAGCACTGCACAGCAGATACAACTGAAGCAGAGTTGTGTATAGTAGTTTCATCTCCGGAGGTCGTCCCCTTTGTAATGCACGCTGATAGTCCTAGGACCCCCAGATCCTTTCCTATCCTTCATTCCTCCAGAAGTTCTCTTGCGCCTCTTTTCGTCAGGATTTCTCTCTATGAAGAGCAGGGGAGATCAGACTACATCGCAGCAGGGACCTAAACAGAAATGGTATGCCCCCTCCCTCCTAGCAGAGTAGGTCAGATAGAACTTTGATGTCTTTGGTGACTTTCTTTTGAAGATTTTTTTTTTGGTACATGATGTGTTTAAGACATTTCCCGCACTCAGATCTCTAACCTGTCTCATCAGCAGTGTGTTTTCTCTGACGCTTGGCAAGACTGGACTGTTCTGTAAAACTTTTCCCGCACGTGGGGCATGTATACGGCTTCTCTGGTGTTTAGCGAGATCTGATTTATTTACAAAACATTTCCAGCACTCGCTGCAGGAATATGGCTTTACCGCTGAGTGAAATCTCTGATGTCTGCCAAGATAGGACTTATCATAAAAACATTTCCTGCACTCAGGACAGGAATATCGCTTCTCCCCCGTGTGAGATCTCTGATGTACAGTAAGTTTTGACTTCTGTGAAAAACATTTCCCGCACTCAGGGCAGGAATAGGGATTCTCTTTTTGTGTGAGACAGGAATCGGAAATCTTGTTTGCATGAATCATTTGATGCCTCATAAATTGGGAATGCCACGCAAAACATTTCCCACGCTCTGTGCAGGAGTATGGCTTTTCTCCCGTGTGGGATCTCAGATGTCTGACAAGAGCTGCTTTCACTGGGAAACATTTCTCACACTAATTACAGGAGAACGGCTTCTCCCCCGTGTGGGAGGTTAGATGTCTGACCAGTGCTGCTTTATATGGGTAACATTTCCTGCACTCGGGGTAGGGATACAGATTCTCTTCTTTGTGAAGCGTTAGATGTCTGACAAGAGTTGCTTTGTGTGAACAACATTTCCCGCACACAGGACAGGAAAATGACTTCTGTCTGTGAGATAACTGGTGTGAACTTAAACCCACTTTATTGATTAAACATTTCCCACTTTCAGGACAAGAAAGATTCTTCTCACCCATGTGGGTTATATGATGTCTGACAAGCTGTGATTTGCTTACAAAACATTTCCCGCACTCAGGACAGGAAATACGGCTTCTCCCCTGTGTGATATCTTTGGTATGCGACAAGTTCTGATTTCCGTGGATAACATTTCCCGCACTCAGGACAGAAATACAGCTTATCTCCGTGTGATATTTTAAATGTGTGACAAGTGTTGATTTCACCGAATAACATTTCCCGCACTCACGGCACGAGTACGGCTTCTCTCTTGTGTGAGACCTCTGGTGTGCATCGACTTTTGATTTACCAGAGAAACATTTCCCGCACTCAGGACAGGAATATCGCTTCTCCCCCGTGTGACATGTCAGATGTACAGAAAGATATGACTTCCGTGAAAAACATTTACCACACTCAGGCAGGAGCATGGCTTCTCTCCGTGTGAGATCTCAGATGGCTGACAAGAGCCGATTTCACTGTGAAACATTTACCGCACTCATTACAGGAATGCGGCTTCTCCCCATTGTGAGATCTTTTATGCACATTAAGACTGGCTTTAGAATGGAAACATTTCCCGCACTCAGGGCAGGAATACGGCTTCTCCCCATGTGAGATCTTTTAAGCCTACTGAGTTGGGATTTAAAATGGAAACATTTCCCGCACTCAGGACAGGAATAGACTTCTCTCCCGTGTGCAATCGCCAATGTACGTTAAGACTGGACTTCTGTGAAAAACATTTCCTGCACTCAGTACAGGAATACGGCTTTTCACCTATGTGAGATCTGTTATGCTCATTAAGACTGCCTTTAGAATGGAAACATTTGCCACACTCGGGGCAGGAATACGGCTTCTCTTCCGTGTGAGATCTTTTATGCCTACTGAGATTGGATTTAGAATGGAAACATTTCCCACACTCAGCACAAGTAAACGGCTTTTCTCCCGTGTGAAATCTCTGATGTTTGGAAAGATTGGACTTGTGTGAAAAACATTTCCCGCACTCAAGGCAGGCATATGCCCTCTCCCCGATCTCTTATGCGCATTAAGAGGAGATTTAAAATGGAAGCCCTTCCCGCACTCAGGACAGGGAAATCTCTTCCCTGTGTGAAGGCCGGCCCAGTCCCGCACAGTCTGAGGTTCCTCAGGATATGAGGAATCCGATAGTCCATCTACACTGGGTGGTGCCGGATGGACATTGGAGGGAGCCGGGTTTTCTCCTGGACTATACTGTGTGATGTCCTCATCTTCTACTTTCCCAGTCTGGAGACAAAGTGAGACAATCCTCTGAGGTTTTCCTTATCTCCCGGCCATGGACTAAAATACAAAGACAGAGGTTGTGTTTAGATATGAACTAAGGACTATGTCACCTACAACACGGAGTGCAGGGGTCAGGAGTATGCAACGTACAGCATGAAGATTGTAGGGGGTGAGGAGTATGGAACACACAAGTGATGGCTCCCTGCACAGTGTAACAGTCAGAATGTGAAAATGTACAACATAGCGCATAGTATCCACACATCAGGAGTATGAAACATACCACAAAGTGCAGGGGTCAGTATTATGTAACATATAACAATGTGTATATAGTGCAGGGGCTGGGAGTATGGAACATGCAACAATGTATGGAGTGCAAGGGTCAGGAGAATATAACAATGTGTATAGAATGCAGGGGCTGGGAGTATGGAACATGCAACAATGTATGGAGTGCAGGGAGTCAAAAGTACACCATATTGTCCCAAAGTATAAGGCCCGCCGCCCTCCCCAATCCTTGATTCAGGTGTTGCAATCCCCTCCATATATATATCTTGTAAATACCTCCATACACACACTATTTTGCTCCAAGTATTACTCCCCCCCCCCAGGTGTTTCAATCCTCTCCACATCATGTGATTCAGGTGTTCCAATCCCCTCCATATCATGTGATTCAGGTATTGCAATCCCCTCCATATCATGTGATTCAGGTGTCCCAATCCCCTCCCCATCATGTGATTCAGTTCTTCCAATCCCCTCCGTATCATGTGATTCAGGTATCCCAATCCCCTCCATATCATGTGATTCAGGTGTTCCAATCCCCCTCCATATCATGTGATTCAGGTGTTCCAATCCCCTCCATGGACACAGGTGTATACAATCAATCCCTAGGCATGCAGACTGCTTCTACAAACATTGGTGAAAGAATGGGTCGCTCTCAGGAGCTCAGTGACTCCAAGCGTGGTCCCGTGATAGGTGGCCACCTGTGCAATAAGTCCATCCGGGACATTTCCTGGCTACTAAATATTCCACGCTCAACTGTTAGTGGGATTATAACAAAGTGGAATCAACTGGGAACAACAGCCACTCAGCCACCAAGTGGTAGGCCACGTCACATGACAGGGCGGGGGTCAGCACATGCTGAAGCGCACAGTGCGCAGAAGTTGCCAACTGTCTGCAGAGTCAATAGCTATAGACCTCCAAACTTGGTGTGGCCTTCAGATGAGCCCAACAACAGTGTGTAGAGAGCTGGCTTCATGGAATGGGTTTCCATGGCCAAGCAGCTGCATCCAAAGCCTTCAATCACCAAGTGCAATGCAAAACGCGTCGGATGCCGTGCTGTAAAGCATGCCACCACTGGACTCTAGAGCAGAGGAGACATGTTCTCTGGAGTGACCAATCATGCTTCTCTATCTGGCAATCCGATGGACGTGTCTGGGGTTTGGCGGTGGCCAGGAGAACGATACTTGTGCCAAGTGTAAAGTTTGGTGGAGGGGGAATTATGGTGTGTGGGGGTGTTTTTCAAGGGGTTGGGTTGGCCCCTAGTTCCAGTGAAGGGAACTCTTAAGGCGACATTTTTGGACAATTTCATGCTCCTAACTTTGTGGGAAAAGTTTGGGGATGGCCCCTTCCTGTTCCAACATGACCTGCCCACCAGTGCACAAAGCAAGGTCCATAAAGACATGGAGGAGCCAGTTTGGGGTGGAGGAACTTGACTGGCCTGCACAGAGTCCTGACCTCAACCCCATAGAACACCTTTGGGATGAATTAAAGCAAAGATTGCGAGCCAGGCCTCCTTCCCCGACATCAGTACCTGACCTGACAAATGTGCTTCTGGAAGAATGATCCAACCTTCCCATAGACACCCTCCTAAACCTTGTGGACGGCCCTTCCCAGAAGAGCTGAAGCTGTTATAGCTGCAAAGGGCAGGGCAACTCAATATTGAACCCTACAGCGTAAGACTGGGGGGCCATTAAAGGTCAAGTGCATGGAAAGGGCGGGGCCAACTCAATATTGAACCCTATGGACTAAAGACTGGGAGGCCATTAAGGTCATGTGTGTGGAAAGGCCGGCGGTCTGATACTTTGGGGGAATATAGGGTATATATAATAATGTGTATAGAGTGCAGGGGCTGGGGTACAACATAACGTAAGGAGCGCAAGGGTCAGGAGTATGGAAAGTCATGCCCCAAATCATTGCTGTACAGCAGAAGAATAAAATATCTCCACGATCATTATTGGCAATTAAAAAAATAAATAAATTAAAAAAAAAAGAAAAAAAAAAAGGGTACACTACAGCTTTACTTTAACCACTAGCCTACCAGGCGCTTCTACCCCCTTCCTGCCCACAGGGCACTTCTACCCCCTTCCTACCCACCGGATGCTTCTACCCCCTTCCCTCCTACCGCGCACTTCTACCCCCTTTGAATGACAATTGCGCGGTCATGCAACACTGTACCCATATGAAATTTTGTAAATAAGTGATTTTTCTCCTTCACTGATGTGCACTAATGAGGTTGCACTGATGGACACTGATAGATGGACACTGATAGGTGGCACTGATGGGCATTGACAGGCATCACTGATAGGCATCACTGACTGGCACTGATAGGCAGTACTGATAGGTGGCAGTGATAGGCGGCACTAATGCACACTGATAGGCGGCACTGACGGGTGACACTGAAAAGCAGCTCAGATGGGCACTGATATGTGGCATTGATGTGCACTGGTAGGCACTGATATGTGGCATTGATGTGACACTAATGGGCACTGGCAGGTGGCATGGATGGACACTGACAGGTGGTACTGCTTGGGCTACACTGATCAGGACAAACTGATCATCAGTGCCCTGATGATCAGTGTAGATATCCCCTCCACGAAATGCTGATTACTGGCTCTCCTCTGTCAGCGTGACAGCTCGAGAGGAGAGGAATGCCGATAACCGACATTTCCCTGTTTACATGCGATCGCTGTGATTGGACACAGCTGATCACATGACTGAGCCAACATCTTTGGCTCTTTCCGTGGATCGGTGATCTGCTATATCCGAGGGATACAGCACACCACCAATTGCCGCGCTACGCGCTCCTGAAGCCACGCATGCGCGGTTAGAATGGGAGAATGAGAGAACCGCCTTGCGCCCATCATTGGACTATATGGCAGTCGGGAGGCGGTTAACCTTTGAGGACCAAGGGACTTATTTGTCCCATGTTTGTAATTGTGTGTATCATCTGATTAAGAACTTAAAACTCTTTTTTTTTTTTTTGGTTTGAGTCAAAATATTAGTTATCAATAAAACAACAAATGGATCTAGCTTTTTGCCAATTATTTCATGAAATGGCTTAGTTACAGCAACTGAAGTATACGAACTTTAAAAACAAAAAAATTTTATTCTTTTGGCGTTCCAAAACCTTACGCTCCTCAAAGGGTTAAGGAAATGGAAGAAATAGTAAAGGTGGAATATATATTTTCATTTCTCCGAGAGATACAGAAAGTCTTTCACCTAAGGGTTATACAGCCGCCTACAGGAGGATAGGACACTGGCAAGCAAAGAATCTGTAGGCCATCCTAGGATAACTCCTCCCACTATGGCCATCCTAGGATAACTCCTCTCACTACAACCATCCTAGGATAACTCCTCCCACTACCAGCATGCCTCAGGTCTTCTACTAGTGTCCTATATAAAGCTCTGCACCTCTTATCTTCTCTCATTCGAGACTTCTCATTTCTAGATTTGCAGTTTCCTGCATGGTCATCCTCAGCCTGGCCTTTGGAGTACCGCTTACAGGCCACCCTGGACTGGACATGGATGGCCTGGAAATCATCTTCAAGCATTGGGTTCTATGGAGGTTTTCTGCTTTCCAGGTTTCTAGCCCTTGGCGTTGCCTTAGCCTTTGCCCTTTCTCTGAAGGCTCGGTCAGTGGGTCTGGTGGGAGTTACCTGAACTATTTAGATTGCTGGGCACCTCGTTCTCACTGGTTTTGCCATAGAAGGAGTAATTCTGAGGGACTAAGTGCTGATATCATCCGCAAGAGTAAAATGTGCTCATGGTCTCTTTTCTTTTCTGCCATACAGCACAGAGAAAGCTGCTGCTCCTGCTTGAAAAGAGTCATGTGGAGCTCGATCTGTTCCCGCTGCCCATCTACCGCTACTTTGATGACCTCCGGTCATGTCCTACAAGCTGTCTGGGTTCACCTTGTCTTTTGCCCTGAGCCTATACGTTGCCTCATCCATGTCTAAATCTTGACATGGGGGACCATCTTGCTTTACCAGGTGCCCTCAGCCCTCCCTTGCTTGAAACAAGTCTTCTGACAGCTCTAAGGTCCCCAACCTGGAATCATGGTATTCTCTAGAGTTAGAATCTGTTCCATGCTCAGAGTCCTCAATCTGTCGGGTGATACTTATGAGCCTTGGATCTGTTCAGCGAAGGTTTTGTAGGATCTGGCAGAGTCCTTCTTTAACAGGACACTTACCATTCCAGCAAGAGGATGCACTTGTAAGGTCCAAACTAGGAAGCAGTTAAAAGTCCATATTGTAGCTCTGTTCTTCCTGGCAGGTCCTGATCTTCTCCCATTTCTGGCTGTTAAACCCAGATTCTGAGGGACGGGGACATCTGATCCCTACAATGCCAGGAGGTTCTCCATAGGATGCATTCTCACTTTTCTAAAGCTGGGTCTGGACCAGCGTCTGAGTGAACACTATCAAGGGTCAAGGTTCTGCCTTTGGAA